CTAATGTCTTCAGTCATGCTTCACTTTGAATGCAAGTGCCTGTGCCATCTGCTGGGAATTTTGGGTGCGGAGCAGTGACTCTCACCCAAACCATGTAGCAAACCACTTGAGAAGCTCCACAGCTCCAAAAACCATTTTCCCACAGGGCACAGAGGACTGGCGTTTGATAGAACACAAATCCAATACTCCTTGGCTTCATAGTAATAGTCAAAATTGGGGAATCTGGGCAAAGAACCAGTAAGAGCCAATATAAAGCCGTATAGAGATGGGTCCTCTTAAGTTGGTGGACTTCCAACACCCACCAGCCATAACCAGCATAGCCAAGGGGAAGCTGCCCAGCAGCTGTCCATCTTCATCCATTTTAGTGGTGAAGAGAGATCGGCAGGGATAAGAAAGGCCTAGATCCAAACACCTCCTGTTCATGAAGCTCAGTGGGTGACTTTGGACCAACCCCGCCCCCCAAGGCTAACCTATCTCACAGGGTTGTCATAAGGGTATGGGAGGGGACATACCATATATGCTGCTCCTACCAGCTGAAGGATGATCATGATAAAGTGAGAAAAACAAAGCATTTTTTTTATTTTTTTGAAATGTTTGACACAATATGCTAGCCATACGTATGAGGGGCGTTATGCTAAAGTTCTGGTAAAAGAGTTGCTCTGCAGAAGTCGGGCTGGACAAGATGTAGGCCATCACTCTTCTGTAGATATATTTGTATGGAATCTAAGGAAGAATTAATTGCAAATTTAATAGTAAGTTTGCCTCCTCCAGACATTATTTATGTTACATTTAGAATTGCCTGATTTGTAATGGCTGCAATACAGGGAGAGAGGGAATGCATTAAAGCTAATGTAATAAGCTGTAAACATCTGTAGACACTTATCTGACCCTTTGCATACTCTCCAGTAAGGCTTTCTTAATTCAGTAGTGATTTTTATTTTGATGATTAATTAGTAGTCTTGAACTTTTTAATAAAGTTTTTCAGAACGTAATTGGCCTTAATAATTTTACAAAGTACATTTTTTAAATTTAGTTTAGTTAATTTAGTTATAATTCACAATCATAGATCAGCATTGTTTTACTCTCAGGGGTGTGATCCAGCCAAGGAACTACAGTTCAGTGTCAAAGGGGATGTACAGTTGTTCTAACACAATGATGAAAGATGGATGCAAATTATAACAAAGTAAAAGAGAGCTTGCACTCCCATTTTCTGTGGACACAGGTTCCCTGAACAGGCCAGGGATGCCCCATGGACTTTCAAAGTCATGCCTGGCTGCCAAAAATAAAGAACGCCACCTCTTGACATGGAATTTATAAGGTTCCTTTCCCCATTTCTGAAGGTCTCAGTACACAGGGGCTACGGAAGCCACACCCCAGGGAACAAGGGAGGGATGAAGCTCCTTCAGGAAGACACTCAGTCACTTTCTCATGATAAAAGCAGCCCCCATCTGCAGAATGCCTGGGGAAGGCAATATCAGGGCAATCGTCTCTAGTGTTCTTCCTAACAAGCTGATGACCGCAGGGGCTTTACACGCCTCCAAAACTGATCCTCGTTTTTGCATATGGGGAAAGCTTACCATGCTACATGTTAGACCTTGATAACCTCGATGCTATTCCTTTGGTAGAGCCTTTACAATCCAATCCAAAGTAAGATATTTAATAAACAGAACTGTGCAGGATTCCAGGCAGCCAAGCCCATTCGCACAGCACTCCACTCCATTCATCATCTCTCCACATCTCCGTGTCTTTTCCCCTTCTGCCAAATCAGTCGGCACTGCATACTTAGGAAGCCTGGCAAGTCCTCACTCGCCTGTTTCCTTGGGACTGCAAAAAATGCTATGTTGTACTTCAGCAACCTTGGCACCTCCAAGAGTGCCAATACTTCCCTCTTCTTCTTGAAAGGTACTGTTTTGGCTATATAAGGATTGTTATTTCAAGAATTAGTTTGCTAACAGTATCTTTGCTGTTGAAGTAATGACAGTAATTGTAAAAAAACAACAAAAAAAAAGCCTATTTTGATTTCTAGAAAGATTTGGGAAAACCAGAGAGAGAAATAAAGCAGAGTTAAACTGCAGATTATAGATATAACTTGCACCTAAATGGGAGATTTTCCCTCCTGCATAATGTGATGCTAAGAAAACCAATGCCATCTTCCCAAGGTGTATTCCACACGAATCGCCTACTTCAAATAAAATCAAGTAGTGTTCACACCAATGCTATCTATGTGGAGTCCATTATTTTCAACTGCAGGTACTTTGCACACAAGAAGATACAACAGTTATTATCTATTTAGACAGAGTTATTTTCACATTTCGTATTTATCTCATTCTCAGTCCCCATATGTAACACTCAATGAATTTGTTTAGCGACACACAATAATACATTACTTCAGGTCAAGGCTATTAATTCTGCTGATAAAGAGGCTTTCGAGGCAAAGAGTAATTCTAGAAACAATAAATCTATTTTTGTAACGAGATTAGAATTCCCTAGGATGCAGGGAGCAGCTGAAGAAATGTTATCTCCTTGAGAGAGATTAGATCAATATTATTTTTGCTCTAGCTGATGTACATATTTCCAAGACCAAGAAATCACAGCTGGTGAGAGAGCCAGTGTGGCACGGTGGTTAAAAAGTTCAACTGAGATTTGAGAGATCCGGATTCTAGTGCCCATGAAGAGCATTGGGTGGCCCAGGGGGTCATTACTGACTCCCAGCCTAACATATCTCACTGGGTTCTGCGGGTACCATGGAGAAAAGGAGGGGTATTATGAAAGCAGCCTTGCAGGAAAAAGCCAGGATATAAATATCAATGCATTAATAAATAACAGAAAATAATCTTTACGCAGTTTCAACTGAGCATGGACTAGTACTAGGAATCAAGTCCATTTTTTCAGAAACACAGAATGTATGATTAAAAATGATGATTCTTCAACAGATAACTAGTATTTTTGTTAATTTCAATTATTTAATTCCTGTTATTTATGTATAACAATCTATGCACATACTACTTTATTAGAATGATGGTACAGATTTGTACAATTTAAAAATAAGATGCAAGCTAGATGATAAAGGAAGGGGACAGAAACGGTGGCGGGGAAGATTGTGCGGTCATTTTAGTTAAACATCCTAGGGCAGGGATGGGCAGAGTTCAGGCTTGCCAGCACTTCTTTGCTTTTTCTTGGAAGCCCAACAAGAAGCAGGTGCAAAAGATGTTATGCCTTGTTTAAGCCTAGAAAACTATTTTGAATACCAGAAAATACCAAAAGGGGAACAGGATCCAAGGCACCAAGATGCCCAGCTCATAGGATAGGCAGTGCTTATGATCATCAGCTTTGGCACGCAACCAAGCAAGTAAAAAGAAAGGCCCCAAGCACAGGAACCCTCAGAGACACCATCGTTTGTAGTAATATGGGCAAGAAGACTCAAGCCTTCCAGGCTTTCTCACTCTGATGTTAACTGACTAGTAAATAATTCCTCAGTTCAAGTTCTAAGAATTTCAGAGACGGGGAATTCCTTTGGAAGATGCTGCATTCACCTCATAGCACCTAAAGATTAATTAAGTTAGGATTTAAAAAATGGCTCTGCCTTCACAAATACTAACCTCTGGCAGAATCGTTCCTCAGTTTGCTGTGATGTAAAAGAACTAAAAAGTCTCACTATATTTTATGACTTAAGGCACAACTGTTTGCATTTTTAGAAAGAGAAAAGGGCCCTGTGTCTGCCTTCTGCTGAAAATCACAACCGATATCAAGAACTATGAGCTATAAAATGGAGAAGGCAAAGCATAAAGCCATCATTTCATAGAATAACAGGGATTACATACCATTGCATGAGCAATGAGGATTAAGCTACATATAATAATTTATACAGAGAGTGGAATAAATTACAGGAAAAATAAGCTAATGAACACTAATTAGAAAAATTAAGTGGTGAATTTAAATGAAAAAGACAGTTGCTTAGCAGGGCTTTAAGCAATTTTTAAATGTCATTGATTTGGCTGTCACTTTAAAATGAAAAGCTATCTTCCTTCTGAACTTAAGTTCATGAACAATTTGTGTATCAGCTGGTATTAGTCATGATAGATGTGGAACCTGTGGAAGGCTCAGAAGGTATTAAGCTCAGAAGGTATTAAGCTACTAGTATTCATAGGATCCAGGGAAGTGATACCCTGTTATACCAACACAGGAGGGAAATAGCCTTTCCTTTACGACTTGTTTGGGGGCTTCCTAGAACTTCTAGGAGCATCCAGTTGGCTACTGTGGAAATCAGGATGCCTAATCTAGTCCAGCAGGCCTATCCTTACACAGTTATCAAGTTTCAGAATATGAAAATAGATGGTAAATTCCCCTTATGTTTTACATTGAAGGCAGAAATATTTGCCTGCGTTGATTCAAGAATACAAAGCCATATTCAAGTTAGGTATTTTCTGAAGGTGATGGGACTTCAAGCTTTACTGCTTCTTTAGATGCTGGATGAAACAAAGATCTGATTACATGAGACCTCACACACAAGCCCACGGAGATGACACAACAGGTGTAGCTATTTTTGGACTACCAGGGAGGTGAAACAAGCCATCAAAACCTGGCCTCACAGCCTGGGCTTCTATTATGCAGGGCAAGAGAGGGTAGTCCCATTGAAATCTATAAGCCCCATCCCAGCTCCCCCTAATTTCAGCCAAATGACCCCCCCCCATTTCTAAATGCTTTAAAGCATTTTTAAAAATTAACTGGGGGGGGGCATCACAAACTCTGTCTTTCGTGTAGTTCAACCACTCTTCTCAATCCTTTTCCTTTTCTTTTCAAGAACCACCTTGTTCATGTAGAGACAGAAGAAAACACTTGAACTTGTTGAATTTGTTTCACTCCCTGGATACAATCCTTTTAATTCCTAAGAAAAACACTATCCAGCCTTGAAACAAAATTGCAGCCAATAGTTGTTTAATAGCATTATTGTTTCAACATACACTGCCAAATATAAATTTAAACTTAAAGGAGAAACTTACCTGCAGTCAAATCATTATTCAGATCTATAAATGCATGAGAGTGAGGTTTATACATTTTGTGCTTTGTGTCCAGTGCTGGGTGCCACGTTAAATTCCTAAGAAATAAAAAGTAATAAGTGATTTTAAAAACGAGCCCATCGACCACTTAGACATATTATTTTGATTCGAAAGCTGCCTCTTTTCATCCATGTATGAATCCTTTCAAGTGATCATTTAAAGTATTTGACAAAGTGACCCACAAAATCTTACGCTACAGCATGGCCAGGTTCACAGGCAATAGCGACTCACTGGATTGTTGCTAGGTAAAAATCTCTGGCTCAGTTAAAAAGAAAATGAAAACTAGCAAGAAGGCAGGGAGGAGGGAAGGAGAGAAGCAAGGCTCTTGTGTGCTCTTGCGCTGTCCCAGAACATTACCTGCATCTCAGGTCTCTATTAACCACTTATTTATTTGTTTATTCATTCATTCATTCATTCATTCATTCATCTTATCAACAGGATTTTTGTAAAAGAGCAAGTTGAGATACAAGAAAACAATGGACGTTTTTCGGTTGCACACAAGCGCTGAATTGGCCCGATGTGCACGTGGTGGCATAAGCCCAAAGGGGCCCCAGACTCCTCCTCTTGTGCAGCTGGGAGGTGATTCTCGCAGCGTTTACTTGCAGCTTCTTTAACACTTGACTTGTTGGGTACAAAGTGGGGGTTGTGCAGTACCACAAACGGGCTGCTGCGAAGGACCCAGCTTCGGAACCCTTGCTGGGCTGTTGCCTTGTCTTGCGCAGGTTCATTTTAACTCGGGCAGGCCAGGTTCTTGAGGCCCTTGGCCGGGGTCTCCTTCCATGGTCATGCTGACTTGCCACCACCGCTCCTCACTCTCTCTCCCATCGTCATCAGGACTTGTCTGCCGGATGGCCAGTGAGCACGTGGGTAGCAGCACCGACTCATCTACTGCCCATCCTTTACTCTTTGTAATCCTCCCAGAGCACTTCAGCTATGGGGCATATAGCAATTAAAGAAAAAACACTGCGACTTTTGCTTGGGCCAGAGTAAGAGGAATAAGCACACTGCAGTGGCAAAGAGAAACAGCAGGGGGCAGCAGCCGGGGGGCCCTTGCAGGTGTGTGGGCTCTTGGCAGAAACCCCGTTATGCCTGCCACTGACACTGGCCATGATGCATGTAGTGATGAACCTCAACTAAGGGTTCGATAATTCAACGCCCTTCTGTTGCTTTGGACTGCAGCTCCCACGAGGGCCATCCAGAATGGCCAACAGCCAGGCAAGCCAAAACATGCAGTGGACACTGGATTGCCTATCCTTCGTCTGGAATGATACACTAATGTGGCCAATGCCACCTCAGAGGGCATAAGCTTGATTCAGGAACACATTAACTGCACTCATCATCATTTTATTTTCCAGAATAAAACCTCTCATCCATTATACTGTTGTCACCTTGCCTTGTAGTTACTACTTTTAACAAGGAACTTGCTTGTTAGATGAATTTCCTGTCAAGCTCCTGGCATATAATAGTCATATTTTATCACTGTATCATTTTAATTAGGATCTCCCTCCTCTCTCTCTTTCTCTCTCTCTCTCTCTCTCTCTCACACACACACACACACACACAGGCATTAGATACACACACAAAGATGGTTGTGATGGTGAAATAATTCTTTTTGGATAGTTATATTGCCATAGTTCCTACATTTTTTGCTCCCACAGAATAGTTCCCAATTTTGGAACATGATAACCACGGGAGTTGTATTAGCACCAACCTTGCTGTCATTCACACTGAGTGACAACAGGTCATTTCCAGTTCAGTTTCACACTTCTACATCTGTATTTTGCATTTTCAGAGGCACATTTCCAAGCAGAAAGAAAAAGAAGGCTGAAATAATGATGTTAGTACCATGCCATACAGATCTGGGAACTCAGCCAGAAAACTATACCCAATAATCTGCTTCTTTGAGAATGACTAAACAAGTAGACATCTAGCGAAAATGCATTTTACTGTATTTACACATATGAAGAACTCACCATTTAAGTTTATATTAAATAACTATAATAGCACAAATAAGGTAAGCCACCCAGATACATGAAATGAGGGTATGGTTATGCATCGTGTTAAGTCAGGAAAGCCAAGAAAAAGTGGTCTTTCTTCCAAGCTGTAGCCTAAAAACGTTGGATTTTGCAGTTGCTCCTGCTGAACCTTTGAGCAGCTCATCCAATGATTAAGAACTGTTTATGCAAATTGACTTAAGATACTGATTCCCTGAAAGTCTTACTTGTAACCTAAGCTGATGTTCCTTTCTTGTCTCAGAGTTTAAACATCAGTTCTTAAAAGCCAACCTCCTGTACCCGTGATATTACATTTAAGCGGCAGAGACAGTTCAAACTAAAAGCAACTGCTGCAAAATTAATGGTTTGTGCTTTTGCTTTTGAAAACAGAAACAAAAAACAAAAAGCAGGCCATCCTCTGATAAAAGTACCATGGAATTTGCTTTCTTTGCCTGAAGTATTCTTACGCTGGAAGTAAATTAAAGAAAGAGCAAGTCATTGTAGGTTCAGTCATCATCCTCATTCCGGAGAGACAGATATCCCACTGGACAGAACTCTTGACATCAAACAACTCTAACATCAGCATCAGCCTCAGGTGAGCAGTTCAGTGTGAACCCTGGACGTGAAGCAGGAGGCTCAGCTGTGAGGGCCGCTTAGGGACTTCGGGCTACTCCCTGTTTCTCTGTCCAAGCTACCACATGGCCTAAACGGGGAGGGAAGGCAGAAGAATGGCATACAACCCTCTGAGCTTGTAGAAGGAAAGGCAACACAAAAATTCAGGTTTTCAAGGCTCCTGATTGCTGAGCCAGCAAGGACTTCTTACATCTGACTCTCCATGAACTTAGGAGAGAATTCAAGTGCAATTCTCTCAACGGGACCAGTGGGCAGAGGTAGGCCTCATTTTTAGTAACGTCTTCTGTTCTGGGCTCCACAGTTTAAAAAAGATGCAGACCAACTGGGAAAGGGTTCAGAGGAGGGCACTGAGGATGATCTGGGGACTGGAAACAAAGCCCTGGGAGGAGAGATTGAAAGAACTGGGCATGTTCAGCCTTGAGATGACAAGACTGTAGAGACATAACAGTTCAAGTACTTGAAAGGCTGTCATGAAGAGGAGGGCCAGGGTCTTTTCTCCATCATTCCAGACTGCAGGACACAGGAAAATGGGCTTAAGGTACAGGAAGCCAGATTCCAGCTGGATATTAGGAGAAACATCTGACTGTCAGAGCAAAATGACAATGGAGCCAGTTACCTGGGGAGACTGTGGGCTCGCCCATGCTGGAGGCCACTGGACAGTCATTTGACAGGGATGCTTTCATGGAGTCCTGCACTGAGCAGGGGGGTGGCGTTGAGGGTCTTATAGGAACCTTCCAAGTCTATGATTCATGATTCTATTCAACAGTCATCATGCCTAGTGGGTAGGGGAGAGGCTGATCCCTGACAAGTCACCATGCTGTCTGGCATGGAGACTAGCTTTGCACTGAAACACTGGCCTGGCAGCCACAGCTATCAAGGAGAGGCATGTAGGCAAGTGAGCAGGCCAGCAGAGAAGGGATGGAGCATCCCGCATCTGCACCCAGCCGAAAAATCAAGAGGACTGCCAAAAAGCTAAGACAAGACGGCAAGCAGGGGCTGGCAGTGGCTGAGGCCCACAGCCCTCTAGCGGGTCACCTGCCAATCTTTGGAGCAAGGAAAAGGAGCAGGCACCTCTGAGTGCCTTTGCCCTGTTTCTAGGAGGCGCGACTGACCCAGTTACTAGGGCGAAGCAAGCAAGTAGCAGCGACAAGAGGATAAGCATTTGTGAAAAGCGTTTTGCTCAAGAAACCACCAAATCAGGCAAAGAAAACGATCAGCCTCCAGTATTCGTTTCCTTCTCCATCTTTGTTTCAACAACTAAACATACCCAGGTTTTTAGGTACTTCTCTTATAGATGCTTCAACTTTTTATTTTTTTAAATTCTAACAGACTCTTTCCCCAACACCCTTCCTGAACTATATTTTCTAAAATGGACTCGGTACTATAAAGTAATCCAATATTGATTAGTCGAATTAGCTGGATTTTTGCATGTACTGCTAAACCAAGAGCATGCTCTACAATGGTCCAACATTGGGCAGGCAAATATTCCCATCTGAAAATGGACAAAGACATTGCACTAGGTAAGTTTGTTCCGACTGCTTCAAGAACCCACTGAATGTTTTCCCCTTTAGAAAATGGAACACTGATTTGCAAAGAAAGCAGAACCCGCTTTTTATATACTGAAGTATTAAAACTGACCCACAGTACTCACTCTCCCTTTGAACAGCAATGTTATTTTCAACTAAACATACTCCCCCTGGGTTTGGGGGAGAGTGTGGAAGGAAGGAGAGAGAACAGGTTCTGTTCCTTTTTTAGGTTCAAAAGCTGATAATATCTTCCAACATAATCATTGCAAGGTTACACTTGCTGCCATGCACACCCTTGAGAAATACGTAGCCTTTGTTCCGTAAGTCACAAATTTTAAACAGAAGTCATCTTGATAAAAATGGAAAAAGATTAATAGCTGCCATCCCCCTGTTCGCACACACACAAAATCTATTTCAGTAGGCCAAAGGAACTCCCATTCACTGCTTCAACACTTAAATGATTTTGACATCAAAACATCAATTTCATCCCTGCAATACAAAATAATTTGCCCTGTCAAAAAAGACATTATAAACAGATTTCTGGTAAGAAGAAGCCAATTCTTAATAACAAGAAAATGACAGTAATCTAGTTATTTGAATTAATATATATCTTAAATTACCGATAATTTACCTAAATGAGGGAATCTTCCCCTTTTTATTTAAGTACAGTAGACTTAGTTGTGAAGGATACAAACAGTTTCCTTAATTAAAACAGTGAAGTGCCTGGGGGACACAAGTCAGAAAACCTGACGCACTGTTTCTATGGAAACAGTGGAATAATCTGATTGACTTCTCTGGGTCTAATGCACTTCTCTTGACACAATAGCTAAAAAGCTCCAGGGAAGTGCAAAACACTGACAACAAACCATTTCCGTTTGCACTGATGAGCATTCCTATTGATTATATATACAACTGAAACATCTGCCAAAGTTTGCTGGCACCTGGGTTTCTACTGCAATCAATCTCGTTCCGGGTGTCCCTGACCACTTATGATTTCAGCACACATCTGGTTGCCACATTTGATCAATTAATCCGTTGGAGCAATCAAAACACTTGCAGAGAGCCATTCTGTGGTCCCCGTACAGCATCTGAGAGGCCTCGGGGTACAATGAATTTCCTCTTCTGAGGCTGGAGGCAGATCTCTGATGTCAGAGGAGATCAGGAGGTAAAATATAGATTGTCCCACCCCATGAAACCCCTCCCAGCTACTGCTGAAAGCTTTGTGAGGGACCTCCCTCTCAAGGTAGGAGCTCTGATCTCTGAAGGGGACCAAGCGGGAAGGACGGACACGTGCGGAAGGGCGGGCATGGCACAGGCTGTGGATCCGCTGAATTAAATGGCTTCTGCCATCTGCACCAGCAGGAGCGTGCCAAGTAGGAGCTGATGCCCACCTGGTGAAAAAAGGCTTTCCTGTTGTCTCAGAGTGTCCCCCCCCCCGCAAAAAAAAGCCTCTGCTGTTTTTCTCACCATACTGGTAAGAAGGTCTGTGTGTGTGTGTGGGGGGGTGTTGGATCATATAGTCCTGATGCAACCCCACTCTGTTCACTGGACTTCTGTCCAATATGGCTGCTCTCTTAGTTGACAAAGCCTGCATAAAAACTAGTCTTTGGAAGACAACAAACGGAAGACGTTGCCATTCGTAGCAAAAATTGGGCCAGCAGCAAACCACGGGTTAATGAACAAACACTGATCGTTCTTAGGTTAACTTTGGGTTGCACAGCTCAAAAATGTCCAGGCACGGGCATCACAGAAATATGTTACAAACATGGCATTCGTAGGCTGTAGCTGGAAACCAGGGGCAGTTTGCCTGCAATGCCCATTCCTGGGTTTCAAGGATTAACCCAGTTTGCAGCCCAATATCACCATCATGTGCAAATAGCTCCATTGTCTGTTGTCCAGAAAGCAGCTCATCAAGAACGTGGAGTGGAGAGAAACATAAAGGAGGCAGGAAAGTTCCACTTGATTTTATGGCACGGGAGAGCTCAACACAGGGTTATAATTCAGTTTATATTTCTCATTACATCATTTTCTTCCAAAAATACAAGCTAATACTGCCATCAGTAACCATGGCTTCTTCAATTCCTTCCCTTCTTCAGTGCAAAATCACTCCCTTTCCTTGCGTTTTGAAACCAGTGCCTGGAGTTAGTTTGAAATCCAGGTTGAGAGGGGAACCAGCATTAACACTCAGTGCTGAACTAGGGGTCCAATGAACAGAGGTTAACTGAATTCAGGGAAGAAATCTGTATCAGAAGAAAGTGGAGAAAATGCTCATAATCTGATCTTAACCTCCTCCAAGACATCCTTTGTCGGCATCACAGAGAAGTTGAACATGCCAAAATTGGAGGAATCATGTACAAAGTGTGCGTGCGGTGGCAAGAATCTTCTCCCTATATTGTTTGTTTCAGTTGTATGAGTCCTTCTCGACAAAGTACAGAAGGCAATTGACTAAGACACTAATGTTACCAATGCCTCCAAACACCAGAGGACAGTAGGGAAATGTAATACATATCAGGTTGATTATGGGGCTACCTTAGTGCCCACCCCACTACCGATGTACATCCAGGGTGCAGTTCAGCATAAATAGGAGAATTCATGATGCCAATACTGTGGCATAACAATGCACGTGTTCCAATGAGAACTAAGGCCTTACCTGCCAATCAGTATCTCTGGCCTATTAGATTCATTTGTAGATCCAAATATATCGGGAACCAAGTCAGCATTGAAACTGCAGAAACAATAACAAAAAAGCTGAATGGTCAAGTTGTTCTATCAACCAGCCAGTACAGATCAACATGTTGAACAACTCAGAACTGCAGACTGAATGAACTCCAGAACCCTAATTATAGACTGTTGACTAGAAAAGGTGCCTCTACAACCTTAACAATCAGAATCAAACTCTGCTAAATCAGGGAGGGCACCCTCTAGACGCTCAAGAATTCCTGTGAGGGTGAGAGGGGTAAGCAAAGGAATCCTTCAGTTATTGATTATGGATCAGAGGGGATGGACAGACCCATAAGGGGCCTTCTCCATCGAGGAAGCTGCCATGCAGGCAGAGTGTTGCGAACTGAGTCAGTAGCTGCAGGAGCATTTGTCCAGCGATCAACCCAGCCATGGCTGTTTTGCCTGCCCCATATCAATCCTCCAGTGGAAGAGGATGCGTCTTTGATGCCTTTTGCCCTGTAAAACCAGGGAGCATCAGGATCCTTGCCCAGTCTGGATTGCTCTCTTCTGGCCTAAAGGCCACATTTTGAATGATGAGAACCTTTAGTCTGTCAAAGTCTAATTTAACATTGTAAATTAAGTTCATAATAATGAACAAATACTTACTCCATGATTAGTGGTTCATCATGAAAAGTCTTATTTAAAACGAACTTACGATTTGCATCTGAAAATGAAAAACATTTACAACAATTTCATTTGGAGATATGCTTTTCTCATGAATATATATTCCAGGCTTTTCTCTTTCATTTATTAGGACTCTGTGAGTACACTATTATTGCAGTTTCAAAATCAACCATTTTAAATGAAATAAATTAAAAATTAATGATATCATGCTAAATTTTAATATGTCTATCAAAACCATTGGGTTTCTCCCATATGAGAAAATAAACAAAATTCAGTGGGTGAAAAAGCCTGATCAAATGATAATACTAATATTTAATTTATTTAAAATGTTTTCCCATTTCTCAGCCAAACAGGCTCCTGGAGGAGCTTCTGTATAATCAGTAAATTAAGATAGCTTCTACACATAGGCAGCACACAAGAAAAAAGGAATGAGGAGAGGAAAATGAGGGAATGAAGTTTTTCAGCAGGGCTGCTAGACTGGCCCTGCCTTGCTCCTTCATCTCTCTATAGAGCTTGCTGGAAATTACTTAGGACACCATCCAGGCAAGTTAATCATTTTAGCATCACAACTGGTTTTAATGGAAGCAATTTAGGTTCATGCTTAACTTTCCCATCGAAATCAGTGAGGCTTAAAAGTGCTTAACTTTGAACAGATTGTATTCAACATCTATAAAGCACCTTTTAAATTGTGTATCTGTAATCCTTACAAGAACTCTAAGATATTATCTCTGTGTTACAGAGTGGAAGAAGCTGAAAGATAATGTGCTTGCCCAAGGCTATCCACTGAGTACGCAGAGAGATTTGAGCCAGACATACTCTAGCTCACAGTTAATTTCCACAGATGCCACCGCTGTGTGTGTCTTTGATCCATTCAAGGTCTACCCTAAACGAGTCAATAAAGGTAAATCATAACTGCGGGGGAAGTAAGGAACAGCTATTGATCTGGTTTGCTCATAATGCTAACTCATGGCTAATTTAACCAATACTTTGTTGAATTCTGGCTTATCATGCTGTGTGAACCCAGCCATTCTAACATACCATGGTTTGTCACCCATGAACAACCCACGGTTTGTTGTTGACTCATGAACTCTGGGTTGTCTGAATTATGGCTTGACATACATTTGAGCCCATAAATATTGTTTGTTTCATGATGCTACAAAAATGGAAGGTGGGAGTAAAAGCTCTGTCTACAAGTTCAGTTGTACAGGAATGAATAAGACAGAAATCAAGGTTGTACCTACTGGCCCCACCCCCCCACATCTCCAAATGTCCACTTTTCAAAGACTATGTGCAGATATATTAAGTTATGCTGGCTACTATATGCATGATCTGCAACCTGCCAAATAGGAAAGCACTGATCACTTGCTCAGGAGACCACTTACGTTATGCTGAGCCAGACCTTTAGTCCGTCACGCTCAGTACTGTCCAAACCTCTGGGTGTCCTCCAGATGTTTTGGATGGATCACAATTCCAGCACTCTTGACTATCGGCCATGGTTGACTGAGGTTGATGGGGGTTCAGTTTCAAGTTATCAAGGGTATCATGTTTGGAAAGACACTTTCCCAGTGTTCTAACTGGAGATGCCAGGGACTGACCTGGGATCCCTTCCCCATATGCATAGACTCTCTGCATATGATACCCTTGCACATCTGGAAGTCAAGGAGATCCTGACTCCATTGCTTGCTATTCTCTAAGACAAGTTGATGATTATCTTCTATAGCAGGGTGAGCAACTTATAGGCAAGAACTTTGGAAGGGACAGAACTCCCATCAGCATAGCAAACTGTCGGGGAATATCAGAAAGTTTAGGCCAAAATTTCTGGAGAGCCACAAGTTGTCCACCCAAGTACATTTTTTTTAGTTCAGTGCAGCCTACCTAAAGTTTGATTATTTCCCCAGAAAATCAAAACTGATAGGTCAGCACTGGGCTGCTTCTGTGGGCGAGTTGTTAAGAGGACATCCATTTGTGAATCACCATCGTAATCACCGGGAACCACACTTGTTATCACAACATTTCTAAAATTAAACAAAAAAAGGGAAAAACATTAAAGGGATGGGCTCATAAATTGTGCAGTGCTGCAAACAAAATACATTTTGTTATACTAGTTTTACTTCGCATATAATTCCTCTCTAATTTCTTATAGCACAGGATAAAACAGGAGCACTAAATCATCATCTGTTCTGTCCCTCCCAAATACACACACAGCCCTTTATGCAATTTCTAACAGCTGTATTTATTTTACTCTTAGAAACTGATGCTTAATAATATGCTTCTATTGGGAATGCATACTTGAAGGTGATTTTCTGCATACACAGCACAAATAAATCAGGGCAATGAACCTCTTTCATCCCAAGGACTAAATTCATTTTTTCAGAGGCCACATTCCAATGGCAGGTGAGGCCAGACACAAAGGTGGAAAGGACCAGCAGAGAAGAAAATGACATATTTAATCTTTCTTACTGCTAGTAACAAAGCCTTGAGAAACATTTCAGCCATTTCAAATAGGGACAAAACTTACATAAGCCAGGAAACCAGCAAGAGATCTGCAGTTTGAGAAGTAGTGGTGGGGTGAGGGAAAGGGGAACATGGCTATTTAAGGATGATCAGCAGGCCAGATTTTTTCTGCAAGCCTGACACTTGACAAATCTGTACTGCAAGGCTTTGAAAGACCCTTGCTGGATGTAGTGGAGGGTATTGATTCGGCAGATACCTTGGCTAAGGCCCGGGAAAATCCTACAACAGAACCAGCATCTTTGCCTTGATTCTCTCTTCTTCCAGGCCCCTGAACCAAGCAAGGACCAGTTCCATCCTGGTGCACTATAATGGTGGAAACAGTTCCAGGATTTCTACCTTCTTCTGGATGTGCTTCTACTTCATATATAAGACAGTGAGCAGCCCCTCCTACATTGCCTAAAAGCCCCTCAAGACCTTAAGCTGGGATTTGCATGGGGGCAGCGGGGGGGGGGGGGGGGCTAGCCACAGTAACATGAATAGTCCTTACATTTTTCATATCACAAAGTAGAAGATGGACCCTGGGAAGCATTTCCAAGTAAACCTTGACAAACTAATGGCAACAATGAAATTAAACATGTCAAAATACATCACAGCAGCCGTTTTAAACACTCTTACTGGAGGGCTTTGTGCCCAGCTTAGATTGCAAATTGTCATTTATGGTATACAGACCAGGAACTATGACCATTACCATTACTGACGTTGGTACCAATTCCACATCTGCATACCACAAAACCACAAGACACCAATTTCAAATTTATGTTCCATAGTAACATAAGCTTAGCAACTAGAGAGACTGAGTGAACAGCAGACAAGTCATTTGGATATGTACTGCATTAATTGTGCAGTTCCATTTGCAAGTGTGGGGGCACTGCTTTAATTTGCAGGACGTCATACCTTACAAAAACATACTTACGCTAGTTGTATCTTGACTTTGGGTTTAAAATAGGGTTCTTTTTGGTCTGCCAGGAAGATATTTAACTCACTATCTGGAAAAGAAAGAGAAGAGACATGGTTTTAGCTTAACAAGAAACCATCAGAGTAAATACCATACACAATACAGTGATTTTTGAACTTTCTGCTCTCAGGGAATCTTTTTCCCCATGAACTCATCTTCCTAGGAATCCGAGAGGGCACATGATTCAGCTCTGCTAGTCACTCTTGCACCCACCATACTCCATGGAATCATGGCCCTCAGTAATCTCATGCACATACCTCAGAAAATCAACAATGACAGGCAAACTGGTTTCCAGGAAACCATGCTATTACTAAACTTCTCTGCTGCCCCTTCTCCTCTCATGTGCCAATTCCCTCCCTCCATTCCTGGTTTACCTGAAATTATAAACTGTGGAACAGAGGACATCCTAGTTTCTAAACCAGCTTTGCAGGGTGAGCATTTACAAAAGAGCAAATGATTTTCTTCAAACCAGAAAAGAAAGGAGGAAACTACTGCATAAGAAGCCAGGACGAAATAAGCAAGCCTAAGGCTTAAGACCTAATCCTAATCATGTTTCAACAGAAATCGAGTCCAAGCACAGTCCCAGCTCTCTCCATACAACCATAATAGCTAGATAACGCAGAGAACTGTAGGACTTTCTTCTGCCTAAACCTGCATAGGATTGCATCCTTCGCTAAGAAATGCTGAAACAAGGTTTGGTATTGCAGATGAACCAACTCAAAGAAACAAGTCTTTTACTATTTGGGTATTACAAACCTCATTTCCTACTAAAGAATTTTATTTCTACACCACCTAATAGCCAAAGCTCTCTGGGTGGTTTACAACAATTCCTAAAACAGACCAAGTTCACAAAACAATTGCACTTTGCTGTGAAGTTCCCTGTACCAAGCATGTCTTGCTCCCCATTACACTGGTCCTGGAGACCTCATTTTACAGATCTTGCTTTTAACTGCAAAGACAACTACCCTTTGTGAGCTCACATAGTGTGCGAGGAGCCCCAGAAATGAAGCATATGAGCCCCCATGACAAAGCATCAGAACAGAAGTGAGCTCAGCAACAGTGCAAAGTAAAGTGCTGTTTACTGATTTCCTTATGTATCCATGTTACTTATTCCAGGTAATCACCTCAGACTCATGACCAAAATGATGGTACAGCAAGGGAGCACAATCTAGAAGGGTAAACTGTGTACAAATATCTAACTGCTGGCGAAATCCCTGAGGGAAATTCAGTGGAAACTTACAGCTCTGCCCAAGCAGGGCAGGCTTAGAAAGGGGAAAGAAGAGCAATGCACAGCTCTATACCGACAAGAGACACCGTGCAGGCCTAACCAGTGGAAGTGGCTGATTATTAACTTAAATTGAAAGGTAACTTCAGTGGAAACTCTGGCTTTTAGGACCACAGAGAGGCTCACAGACTTAAACTCAAATACAACAGGCTATCACTTAGTTTTAAAACATACACACACAAAGGAACTCCAGCCTCCCAAATCACGTCCTTTCACAAATCACATATCCTTGGTCTGTTGTCCCCTCCAACAACACAGTGACTACTGTGCTCTTTATTGAGTAGAACTTCTCCAGTCCTGGAAGGATAATTAACATTAATGAGTTCAGCCACAACCTCCCTTGCTTTTTAAATGACGCTCTCTGATCAGATTGGTTGCAACAGCGGTGGAGTCAAATTTCCTGGAAGGCTTGTGGGAGATTCAGCTCTCCAGGTGCAGGGAAGCCCAGTGAGGAACACAAGTACACAAGTGAGTTAAGCAACCGTGTGAGTTTGGCAACAGGATGCGGAAGCCAGGACAGAGAACTCGTCCTTCTTTCTCAAAACGTAAATTACCAACAAAACAAATCCACCTTCTCCCAGCAGAACAAATCGACAAAAAGCAAAACATTTTTCAGATAAATAGACCCAGTAATACCGATTACAGGCACTTGTAAAGGTAGAAAGCTGGCAGGGTGTGGGAGCTACCGGACATATTGAACTGAGTGCTACGTACGTAACTATCTACTATCATGCCTGGGGACATGGAACAAGCACCTGGCTTCATGGAACACGTTTCAACCAGAGAATCAAAAGAGGCAGAGAGGCTGCCTGACCAAACAGCAGGGTCCTGATTCCTGCTGGCTCCTCTGCTGTCATGGAAAATGGGAGTCTCGGGCTGGAGAGGCATCATTCTGAGGAAGAAAGAAACGATCCGTGGGAAAGGGCTCATTCCTTGGTAGGCGAAGCATCGCCCCCTTGCACCACAGTTGTGCTTCCAGAGAGTGGAGTGGGGCTTGTGGAAGTGGGAGATTCAATCACAAGGTCCGCAGCTTGGGAGTGCTCCTCGACCCGGAGCTTTCTTTGGAAGCTCAGGTGACAGCGGTGGCGAGGAACACCTTCCTTCAGCTTCGGCTGATTAATCAACTGCGCCCCTACCTGGAGTACGACTGCCTGGCAACTGTGACACACGCGTTGGTGACTTCCCGCCTAGACTTCTGTAACGCGCTTTACGTGGGGCTTCCCCTGAAGACAGTCCGAACACTTCAATTGGTGCAAAATAGAGCTGCCAGGTTGCTGACGGGGACGGGGCGTTATGCTCACATGACTCCAGTCCTCCGTCAGCTTCACTGGCTGCCCATTGAAGCCCGGGCCCAATTCAAGGTGTTGATTATGACCTATAAAGCCTTAACGGCTTGGGTCCTGGCTACCTGAATGAGCGCTTACGTCCGTATATGCCCGACCGCCCTTTGAGATCTGCGGGAGAGTCCCTTCTCCGGGAACCCTCCATAGGTTGGGTGCCACC